ACAGCTTCTCTATCTTTCTTTTCAAACAGACAAATGGGAATTCGAGGCAACAGAGAGATTGTGTTTCAAATTTCTTTCAGTCTGAGTCTAACATACTGTACAATGTCATATTGTTATCTTGGAGAGTGTCTCCTCATAAATTCACTGTGAGTTTTTCAGAGGGTAACGAATAGGACAACAGAAGGTGTGGTTGGAATGAGATCTATTCAAAATGACAGCATTTTTTTATCATATTTTGTTTTGTCTGTACAAAGTAAAAAAAAAAAAAAAAACAGTACTAAACATCAGTTTGTGCGTGCGTAGGTGTGTAGCTCAGTTTGTAGAGCATGACCAGGGTTGTGGGTTCGATTCCCATGGGGACCAGTATGGGAAAACTATGAACATGTATGCACTCACTACTGTAAGTCACTCTGGATAAGAGTGTCTGCTAAATGACTCAAATGTGTGAAAGTAGGAAGGCTTAACTCAGTTTCTTGCCCAAGTTTAGCCAGCTCTGAAGTATATCAGAGGCTGGTAGCTCAGCTTAAGTCTGGATGAAGCTGCACAGTCCTGTCCTGTTCCATCTCACTAGCTTCCTCCACCTGACATTACCTCCCTGTGGGCCACCCAATCACTGTTACAATGGCATCTGACCTCCCTCCTACGCGCACACACACACTCTCTCATTAGTGATTACATGGCTCATTAACGATTTAATAGTCCATTAATATACCAGGCCATTCTATATTAACTGAGTCAGGCTGGGCCAAAGTTCACTTTTTTGCTTCTGAAAGGTCAGCTGACCCTCTGAAATTAAATCACAGATCAGAGTGCATGCAATGATTTATGTAAAAATGATTTATTGGGGAATAATTGTACAACTCACAGGATAATGGGATGCACCTATACACCTACAACACATGGTTATGGGCTTAAAAAAATAGAAAACACCTGTACCATGTCAGGTATAGAGTTGAAATGTATTCAATTTTGACTTTGCATGGCAATATTACACTTTATATACATCACAGAACACTGAAATATAATAAAACTGTTTGACATAGAAATACCAGATTTCCGTTGAGTTTGTAATGAAAAATATGAATAATATTCCACCCATGAGGCCAAAGAGGGCGCTTTTGGTCATTGACTGCAGGAAAGAGCTACAGAAGGAACTCAATAGTAGCAAGGTGTCCTTGTTGTTTTGTACACTCAGTGTATATTCAAAGCAGGTGCTTCCACACAAGGTTCCTGAGTTAATTAAGCAATTAACATCCGATCATGCTTAGGGTCATGTATAAACATTTTGGGCAGGCCATTATTTTGGCTACCATGGCTATCATTTACATTTTACATTTTAGTCATTTAGCAGACGCTCTTATCCAGAGCGACTTACAGGAGCAATTAGGGTTAAGTGCCTTGCTCAAGGGCACATTTACGTCATTTAGCAGACGCTCTTATCCAGAGCGACTACAAATTGGTGCATTCACCCTATAGCCAGTGGGATAACCACTTTACAATTATATCTTTTTTTTTTTTTTTTTTTTTTTTTGGGGGGGTGGGGGGGGGAGGGGTAGAAGGATTACTTTATCCTATCCCAGGTGTTCCTTAAAGAGGTGGGGTTTCAAATGTCTCCGGAAGGTGGTGAGTGACTCCGCTGTCCTGGCGTCGTGAGGGAGCTTGTTCCACCATTGGGGTGCCAGAGCAGCGAACAGTTTTGACTGGGCTGAGCGGGAACTATGCTTCCGCAGAGGAAGGGGAGCCAGCAGGCCAGAGGTGGATGAACGCAATGCCCTCGTTTGGGTGTAGGGACTGATCAGAGCCTGAAGGTACGGAGGTGCCGTTCCCCTCACTGCTCCATAGGCAAGCACCATGGTCTTGTAACGGATGCGAGCTTCAACTGGAAGCCAGTGGAGTGTGCGGAGGAGGGGGGTGACGTGAGAGAACTTGGGAAGGTTGAACACCAGACGGGCTGTGGCATTCTGGATGAGTTGTAGGGGTTTAATGGCACAGGCAGGGAGCCCAGCCAACAGCGAGTTGCAGTAATCCAGACGGGAGATGACAAGTGCCTGGATTAGGACCTGTGCCGCTTCCTGTGTAAGGCAGGGTCGTACTCTCCGAATGTTGTAGAGCATGAACCTGCAGGATCGGGTCACCGCCTTGATGTTAGCGGAGAACGACAGGGTGTTGTCCAGGGTCACGCCAAGGCTCTTCGCACTCTGGGAGGAGGACACAACGGAGTTGTCAACCGTGATGGCGAGATCATGGAACGGGCAGTCCTTCCCCGGGAGGAAGAGCAGCTCCGTCTTGCCAGGGTTCAGCTTGAGGTGGTGATCCGTCATCCATACTGATATGTCGGCCAGACATGCAGAGATGCGATTCGCCACCTGGTCATCAGAAGGGGGAAAGGAGAAGATTAGTTGTGTATCGTCAGCGTAGCAATGATAGGAGAGGCCATGTGAGGATATGACAGAGCCAAGTGACTTGGTGTATAGGGAGAAAAGGAGAGGGCCTAGAACTGAGCCCTGGGGGACACCAGTGGTGAGAGCATGTGGTGCGGAGACAGCTTCTCACCACGCCACTTGGTAGGAGCGACCGGTCAGGTAGGACGCAATCCAGGAGTGAGCCGCGCCGGAGATGCCTAGCTCGGAGAGGGTGGAGAGGAGGATCTGATGGTTCACTGTATCAAAGGCAGCAGACAGGTCTAGAAGGACAAGAGCAGAGGAGAGAGAGTTAGCTTTAGCAGTGCGGAGAGCCTCCGTGACACAGAGAAGAGCAGTCTCAGTTGAATGACCAGTCCTGAAACCTGACTGGTTTGGATCAAGAAGGTCATTCTGAGAGAGATAGCAAGAGAGTTGGCTAAAGACGGCACGCTCAATAGTTTTGGAAAGAAAAGAAAGAAGGGATACTGGTCTGTAGTTGTTGACATCAGTGGGATCGAGTGTTGGTTTTTTGAGAAGGGGTGCAACTCTCGCTCTCTTGAAGACGGAAGGGACATGGCCAGCGGTCAAGGATGAGTTGATCAGCGAGGTGAGGTAGGGGAGAAGGTCACCGGAGATGGTCTGGAGAAGAGAGGAGTGGATGGGGTCAAGCGGGCAGGTTGTTGGGCGGCCTGCAGTCACTAGTCGCAAGATTTTATCTGGAGAGAGAGGGGAGAAAGAAGTCAAAGCATAGGGTAGGGCAGTGTGAGCAGGACCAGCAGTGTCATTAGACTTAACAAACGAGGATCGGATGTCGTCAACCTTCTTTTCAAAGTGGTTGACAAAGTCATCCACAGAGAGGGAGGAGGGGGGGGAGGATTCAGCAGTGAGGAGAATGTGGCAAAGAGCTTCCTAGGGTTAGAGGCAGATGCTTGGAATTTAGAGTGGTAGAAAGTGGCCTTAGCAGCAGAAACAGATGAAGAAAATGTAGAGAGGAGTGAGTGAAAAGATGCCAGGTCGGCAGGGAGTTTAGTTTTCTTCCATTTCCGCTCAGCTGCCCGGAGCTCTGTTCTGTGAGCTCGCAATGAGTCATCAAGCCACGGAGCTGGAGGGGAGGACCGAGCCGGCCGGGAGGATAGGGGACACAGGGAGTCAAAGGATGCAGAAAGGGAGGAGAGGAGAGTTGAGGAGGCAGAATCAGGAGATTGGAGGGAGAAGGATTGAGCAGAGGGAAGAGATGATAGGATGGAAGAGGAGAGAGTAGTGGGAGAGAGAGAGCGAAGGTTGCGGCGGCGCGTTACCATCTGTGTAGGGGCAGAGTGAGTAGTGTTGGAGGAGAGCGAGAGAGAAAAGGATACATAGGATGACAATGCTCCCATCCACAGGGCACTAGTGGTCACTGAAAGTTTGATGAGCATGAAAATGATGAAAGGTCTCGGTCACCAGATCTCAACTCAACACTTCTGAGAGATTCTGGAGCGGTGCCTGAGACAGCGTTTTCCACAACCATCAACAAAACACCAAATTATGGAATTTCTCGTGGAAGAATGGTGTCGCATCCCTCCAATAGAGATCCAGACACTTGTAGAATATGCAAAAGTGCATTGAAGCTGTTCTGGCTTGTGGTGGCCCAACACCGTATTAAGACACTTTATGTTTCCTTTATTTTGGCAGTTACCTGTAGTTAGACAAGTTAGATACTCTAACTTGATAGCCTGAAATGGCTTCTTGGTAGATAGTTATGAGGTTGGAAGATTGGGAACCTATCTGGGCTAGCTAATGCCAACTTCATAAAATTGCTAGGTCACTAGTAGTATTACAGAGAAACAACAACAACAACTTTTTTACATTTATTTGTTAAACAGGATAAATCTGAGGGGGCACGTAAAATTTCAGACTTCATTTTTACTTTAGAAAAATGTATCAACCACTACAAAAATGTCCATTAATTATAATCTACATCATAATTCACATTTCCTGTTGCTGCAGGATTATTTTCCTGCTGTAGCAAACTGGATCAAATTAGGATGCTACATCTGTACATGTCACATGCAGTTACATTTAACAAATATTGAGCATCAGTCAGCCGAAATAAATCACCATTACAGCTAAATCATTATGCCCTACATTGGAGTGTGAGTCTAGGTAACACTATTGTTGGGGCCATACTGTATATATATATATATATATATATATATATATATTATCATAAAGCATACAGAACCATTTTATGATTCCAAATGAAAATGTGTTGCATAATGGTGAATAGGGATGAGTCACTTGGACCTACAGTAAGCAGGATTTTACATAAAATTAGTCTATCCAGTGCAACCTTATCAGGCACAAATATATAGTGTTTTATGTATTTGCAAGAGAATAGGCCAATAATATCAAATAGCAGAAAAGAAAATGAGAAAAACAGCTCTCTCGCCTTCTCTCAAAAAAATTTTTTTCAAAGGTGGGTCAAACATAGTTTGTATAACCCTTACCCTCTCTGGTGGTGGTGGTGGAGATTAAATCAGTCTCTTATACTGTCTATTTCCCCAGCAAGCAAAACCTTCAAAAGGTAGAGTGCAGTACAGTGTGTACCCGTTCTCTCCTCTAAAAGTACATTTGATGAACCTGGTTGGTTCCCCCAGCCAGGCAGCCAGCCTCCCACTCCCACAGCTTCCTGGTAAACAGAGAAGCATTTCTATCATTAAGAGCAGTGGGAGCGGTGATTCAGTGGGAGTGTTATGGAGTGGGCTCGTGGATCACAGCTAGCTTACCATCCTCTGAGGACAGCACAGAGTCTCTGCACAATTATCATGCATGTTGTGGCATAAAGGTTAACTTTGCACTGTATCTCACTGGCGAAGTATTCAACTCACAAAAACTGACAAACAAACACACGCTGGCCTTGTGATGAACATTCTGTCAATTAAAAATGAATGTGCTGAGACAAAACAAACTGCCTTTCCCTGGTGTACGAGAATAACACATAGACAGGACCAGATCTGGATGTTCTCATTTGATGTGTCATGTTGTTTTTCCAGGTAGAACCCCTCTGAACTATCCAGCCCTGTGCAATGAGAGACTTTCACAGCTTTAAGGTTGTCTGTCATGGAATGGTGCTAAGTACTCATAGAGTTGTGGTGCCTGTGTTATAGCTTCTGTATCTGTGTTGAGTGCACTGAATTAGTTGTTGGGTAGTTGTGAAGCGTATGTCCCACTGGGAGCAGAATTTGAACTGAATTTGAATTGAAGGAAGTAGAATTTCCACATGTAAGATGTTGGTCCCATGTTTCATGAGCTGAAATAAAAGATCCCAGAAATGTTCCATACACACAAAAAGCGTATTTCTCTCAAATTTTGAATGCACAGAAATACCGTGACGAGATACTGAGGCACATTGTGAGGCCCATTCTTTTTAAGGTATCTGTGACCAACAGATGCATATCTGTATTCCCAGTCATGTGAAATCCATAGATTAGGGCCTACTGAATTTATTTCAATTGACTGATTTCCTCACATGAACTGTAACTCAGTTAAATCTTTGAAATTGATGCATGTTGCATTTATATTTTTGTTCAGTATAATTCAAAGCAATTCAAAACAATTCAACTGAGACGTAAAACATGAAAGCCTCTTTTTACAGTATTTTTCTTGGTCATGAAATGTTAGATTGTTCTCTTCCATTCTGCAGTGTTTGATCTAATGCATTCTGGGATTTGCATTCTGGGATTTCTAAGCTGACATATGGAATTGTTTTAAAAAGGTCATAGCATGGATCATTTAGCTATTTGATTTAGAATTTTAGGACAGCTTTAGGTATCAAAAGAAATGTAAAAAAAATAGAAATATTGAATCTGGCCTACTACTATAGCACTGAATAACACATTCACAAATGGCAAAAAAAAAGTCTAAAAGTAAATCATAAGGAATAAGATTTTGAAGTGTCTGTCTTATATTTAGGAGATATAAGAAAGCTCAGGAAATATTATTATTTATATATATATTTTTTACACATATTTAACCCCTTATTTTTTGTTGGCATAAAACTACCTCCATACTTCCATTCACTTGTATGGGTTACCTTTAAACGAGTCCCGTGACACTTGTGGGGGTAAGCGGTCACATTACTTTGTAGCCCAAATGGTTCGGACGCTACAGACAAAAGTTGGCACATCAGCATTACCAACTTCAGACGAGTCCCGTGGGGCTTGTGGGGGTCGTAGAGCAAAACTGAGAACACCATCGTGTTAGTGAGAGTCTCCCCTTTCTACCGATTTTCGGGATGTCTCCTGGTCTGACAAACAGTGCCACTTTCCACCGCAGATGCGGAAGGGCAACATTTTTGTTACTTTTGTTCTGTTACTTAGATTGACGCACCAGTGTGTCAATAGACTATAGGGGTTTTAATAACAGTTCTAAAGACTTGCGTGTAATTGTTCTCATACCTAGGGCCCTGTGTTTTGGTTGATCATGTCATATAAAATGGATTTTTATATTTATTTAAAGCTTTTCATCACACTTTCCCCTTTTCTATTTTTGTCAGATGGACACCATCCTCATACAATTGTAAAAAATGTTTGTGTAATTCTCAGATTGAATGAGATGAGAGCATTTGATCTTCCAGTGTTATTTCAGACCGAATGGAAACCTTGGGAGCACAAAAAGTGACCTGGTTACAGTCAGGTGCAGGAAGCTTTCATCTCTCATCTCTCCTGTCTGTCTGATATCGTGTGGCACTTTACTCTATCCGGCTGCCTTGACTGGCAGGAAGTAGAAAGCTTATTGACTGGCTGGCTGGCTGGCTAGCTGGCTGACCGGCTGACTGATTCAAAAGAATAGAGAATGCAGGAATGTCTGAGTATGGAAGGAGGAGATATGAAAACATTGGGGTTCAGGGACATAACATTGTACATCTTATTTATTAATGTCATTTGATGCAGAGAGAAATTTCAAGGGATGGATGAATGCTTCATAATAAACAGATTATAGGTCAACACTGTCAGAGACACTGCCTCTGTGAATATTGCAAATGTATTGCAAAAGTATTTTCACAATTAATTATTTTTTCTTCTTCTTTTTTAAATATATATATATTTTTTTTTTTTTTGGGGGGGGGGGGGTAGATCAGCTTTAATATTGCAGATAGATTGTAACTTCCATCAATGTAATTGTCTACATCACTTCCAATCCCCCATATGTTTTTTACTCTCTCACTAATATACAGTGGAGAAAAAAGTATTTAGTCAGCCACCAATTGTGCAAGTTCTCCCACTTAAAAGATGAGAGAGGCCTGTAATTTTCATCATAAAAACGTTTGACCTGTGTCATTGGCAACAAAGGGTATATAACAAAGTATTGACAAACTTTTGTTATTGACCAAATACTTATTTTCCACCATAATTTGCAAATAAGTTCATAAAAAATCCTACAATGTGATTTTCAGAAAAAAATTTCTCCATTTGTCTGTCATAGTTGACGTGTACCTATGATGAAAATGACAGGCCTCTCTCATCTTTTTAAGTGGGAGAACTTGCACAATTGGTGGCTGACTAAATACTTTTTTTCCCCACTGTATATGGGACGGCTGTCAATCATTTGGTCCTTAAATGAAACTGGTATACTTTTTTATTTATCACAATTTTCTTTAACAAATTATATTATTTAATGCAGGGCCGACAGACAAGTCCCCCTTCCACTTTCCTCTTCCATTTTTGCAGTAATACTGCAATTATTTGTTTGTAATTTTGGGTAGAGCAGAGAGCAGGCATTTCCATACGTTTTTGTTAGCTGCATAACTCCACCAGTCCTACCTATGATATCATTTACAAAGATTATACATTTTTTGAAAACAATTTCAAAAAATAATGTTTTTTTTTAATCAATTAGTATATTTGAGTTTAACCACAATATTTATTGCATTATTTGTTCTGTCGTTTCTGGAGGATTAAATTGAAATTGCAACCAACTTTCTATGGCTTGTTTTAGAAATAATGATATTTCAAATAACTGAAAGTGAGAGGTTGTAATCTGAATAAAGGGAAAAAGGCCATTCTTGAACATGGGGTGAGACAATCTTACTAATTTGCTAGAGAACCAGTTCGGATTTAAGTATACTGTAACTTTTGTATCACTGAAGGTTTTAGTGATAGGTCTAATGCTTTAATATTTAATCATTTCTGTCCTCCGAATTCATATTCATTATATAAATAGGCCCGTTTAATTTTGTCTGGCTTGCCGTTCCAAATAAAATGGAATATTTTTTTCTCATGTAATTTAAGAAACTGTTCGCTAGGCGTAGGCAAGACCATAAGCAAATAGGTAAACTGGGATAATATTAAAGAGTTCATCAGGGGGATTTTTAAAACAATAGACAGGTGTTTACCTTTCCAAGTTAGCAAGATCTTATCTATTTTTGCTAACTTTCTATTAAAATGTATTAGAGTGAGAGCATTTATTTCATTTGGGATATATATTCCGAGTATATCCACATCACCATCAGACCATTGTATTGGTAAACTACATGGTAATGTACAAATTGTATTTTTTTGTGATCCAACACGTAATATAGTACATTTATCATTATTTGGTTGTAATCCAGAGAGGTTAGAACATGTACAGTGGGGGAAAAAAGTATTTAGTCAGCCACCAATTGTGCAAGTTCTCCCACTTAAAAAGATGAGAGAGGCCTGTAATTTTCATCATAGGTACACGTCAACTATGACAGACAAATTGAGAAAAATAAATCCAGAAATGCACATTGTAGGATTTTTAATGAATTTATTTGCAAATTATGGTGGAAAATAAGTATTTGGACTTGTAGTTTTACTTAATTCTCCGTACTGGCCAATGATTATAACTGGGATTCTGATCCAAGCATAAATTAATACATTGTGCCCCTGGCTTAAGAGGATGGAAGTTCAACATGTAGCTAGATGTAGTGTGCTGATGTTAACTAGCTGGTCCGACACATCGTTGCCCATGAAAGGAAGTTAGGCTAGCGTGCAAGCGTTTTAGCCAGGTAGCCGACGGGACCGAGTTTGAGAAACCCTGGATTAGATAATGTTGTAATGTTGCAGTTGAAATGGTGATGGAATAGTGGAGGCAGCTCCTGTTTTCTTTGCGACTTGCGGTAACTCTCCGTGGTTCTAAATCAATACTTGTTTAGTAGTCCGGAAATGTCGGAAACATTGCTGACCATGCTGTAGGTCATGTAACTGTATGTTAAATGCAAAATATTTTGCGGACTTCACCAGAACGAGCTTGCTGTCTGGTTTTGTAATGTAAATGTGTGGTTGAATTTACTCTGCCACTGTGTCTTCTTATTCATTATTATTCAGACCCCTTGACTTTTTTCCACATTTTGTTACGTTACAACCTTATTCTTAAATGGATTTAAATGTTTTTTTTCCCCATTTCAATCAATTCTTTGCAAAAATTAAGAACATAAATATCACATTTACATAAGTATTTAGACCCTGTACTCAGTAGTTTGTTGAAGCACCTTTAGCAGTGATTACAGCCTAGAGTATTATTGGGTATGACGCTACAAGCCAGATACACCTGTATTTGGGGAGTTTCTCCCATTCTTCTCTGCAGATCCTCTCAATCTCTGTCAGGTTGGATGGGGAGCGTCGCTGCACAACTTTTTTCAGGTCTCTCCAGAGATGTTCGATAGGGTACAAGTCCGGGCTCTGGCTGGGCCACTCAAGGACATTAAGAGACTTGTTCCGAAGCCACTCCTGCGTTGTCTTGGCTATGTGCTTAGGGTCGTTGTCCTGCTGGAAGGTGAAGGTGAACCTTCTCCCCAGTCTGAGGTTCTGAGCACTCTGGAGCAGGTTTTCATCAAGTATCTCTCTGTACTTTGCGCCGTTCCTTCAAACCTGACTAGTCTCCCTGCTGCTGAAAAACATCCCCACAGCATGATGCTGCCTCCACCATGCTTAGCCGTAGGGATAGTGCCAGGTTTCCTCCAGATGTGACGCTTGGCATTCAGGCAAAATAGTTCAATCTTGGTTTCATCAGACCAGAGAATCTTGTTTCTCATGGTCTGAGAGTCCTTTAGGTGCATTTCGGCAAACTCCAAGCAGGCTGTGATGTGCCTTTTACAGAGGAGTGGCTTCCATCTGGCCACTCTACCATGAAGGCCTGATTGGTGGAGTGCTGCCGAGATGGTTGTCCTTCTGGAAGGTTCTCCCGTCTCCACAGAAGAACTCTGGAGCTCTGTCAGAGTGACCATCTGGTTCTTGGTCACCTCCCTGACCAAGACCCTTCTCCCCCGATTGCTCAGTTTGGTTGGGTGGCCAGCTCTACTAAGAGTCTTGGTGGTTCCAAACTTCTTCCATTTAAGAAAGATGGAAGCCACTGTGTTCTTGGGGACCTTCAATGCTGCAGAAATGTTTTGGTACCCTTCCCCAGTTCTGTGCCTCGACACAATCCTGTCTCAGAGATCTACGGACAATTCCTTCAACCTCATCGCTTGGTTTTTGCTCTGACATGCACTGTCAACTGTGGGACCTTATATTGACAGGTGTGTGCCTTTCCAAATCATGTCCAATCAATTGAATTTACCACAGGTGGACTCCAATCAAGTTGTAGAAACATCTCAAAGATGATCAATGGAAACACGATGCACCTGAGCTCAAATTCGAGACTCATAGCAAAGGTCTGGATACTAATGTAAATAAGGTATTTCTGTTTTTTTTTATGTGCAAAGATTTCTAAAACCTGTTTTCGCTTTGTCATTATGGGGTATTGTGTGTAGATTGATGAGGAAAAAAATAATTCAATCCATTTTAGAATAAGGCTGTAACGTAACAAAATCTGGAAAAAGTGAATGGGTCTGAATTCTTTCCGAATGCACTATGTACAAAGGTATGTGGACACACCTTCAAATTAGTGGATTCGGCTATCTCAGCCACACCCGTTGCTGACAGGTGTATAAAATTCAGCACATATCCATGCAATCTCCATAGCCTAACATTGGCAGTAGAATGGCCTTACTGAAGAGCTCAGTGGCATTCAACATGGTACCGTCAAATGATGCGACCTTTCCAACAAGTCAGTTCGTCAAATGTCTGCCCTGCTAGAGCTGCCCCGGTTAACTGTAAGTGCCTTTATTGTGAAGTGGAAACGTCTAGGAGCAACAACGGCTCAGCCGCGAAGCTCACAGAACAGGACCGCCGAGTGCTGAAGCGTGTAGCGTGTAAACATCATCTGTCTTCAGTTGCAACACTCACTACCGAGTTCCAAACTGCCTCTGGAAGCAATGTCAGCACAAGAACTGCACATTGGGAGTTGCATGAAATGGGTTTCCATGGTCGAGTATCCGCACACAAGCCTAAAATCACCATGTGCAATCCCAGGCGTCGGCTGGAGTGGTGTAAAGCTTGCCGCCATTGGACTCTGGAGCAGTGGAAATGCGTTTTTCGGAGTGATGAATCACTCTTCTCCATGTGGCAGTCCGACGGACGGATTTAGGTTTGGCGGATGCCAGGAGAACGCTACCTGCCCGAATGCATAGGGTCAACTGTAAAGTTTGGTGGAGGAGGAATAATGGTCTGGGGATTTTTTTCATTGTTCAGGCTAGGCCCCTTAGTTTTAGTGAAGGGAAATCTTAACGCTACAGCATACAATGACATTCTCGACGATTCTGCGCTTCCAACATTGTGGCAACAGTTTGGGGAAGGCTAACTGTAGTACAGACTGTTGTACAGACATAGATTTAAAGCGCAAAGCTAATGATATGCGCACCAGGTTCCTGCAACACGGTTATTATAAGAGTGTCATTGAACAGGCCTACAGTGAGGGAAAAAAGTATTTGATCCCCTGCTGATTTTGTACGTTTACCCACTGACAAAGAAAGGATCAGTCTATAATTTTAATGTTAGGTTTATTTGAACAGTGAGAGACAGAATAACAACAAAAAATCCTGAAAAACGCATGTCAAAAATTTTACACTATTAAAGGGAGTGCTCCTAATCTCAGCTTGTTACCTGTATAAAAGACACCTGTCCACAGAAGCAATCAATCAATCAGATTCCAAACTCTCCACCAAGACCAAAGATCTCTCCAAGAATGTCAAGGACAAGATTGTAGACCTACACAAGGCTGGAATGGGCTACAAGACCATCGCCAAACAGCTTGGTGAGAAGGTGACAACAGTTGGTGCGATTATTCGCAAATGGAAGAAACACAAAATAACTGTCAATCTCCCTCGGCCTGGGGCTCCATGCAAGATCTCACCTCGTGGAGTTGCAATGATCATGAGAACGGTGAGGAATCAGCCCAGAACTACACGGGAGGATCTTGTCAATGATCTCAAGGCAGCTGGGACCATAGTCACCAAGAAAACAATTGGTAACACACTACGCCATGAAGGACTGAAATCCTGCAGTGTCCGCAAGGTCCCCCTGCTCAAGAAAGCACATATACAGGGCCATCTGAAGTTTGCCAATGAACATCTGAATGATTCAGAGGAGAACTGGGTGAAAGTGTTATGGTCAGATGAGACCAAAATGGAGCTCTTTGGCATCAACTCAACTCGCCGTGTTTGGAGGAGGAGGAATGCTGCCTATGACTCCAAGAACACCATCCCCACCGTCAAACATGGAGGTGGAAACATTATGCTTTGGGGGTGTTTTTCTGCTAAGGGGACAGGACAACTTCACCGCATCAAAGGGACGATTGACGGGGCCATGTACCGTCAAATCTTGGGTGAGAACCTCTTTCCCTCAGCCAGGGCATTGAAAATGGGTCGTGGATGGGTATTCCAGCATGACAATGACCCAAAACACACGGCCAAGGCAACAAAGGCTCAAGCAGAAGCACATTAAGGTCCTGGAGTGGCCTAGCCAGTCTCCAGACCTTAATCCCATAGGTTCGAGTTGCCAAACGTCAGCCTCGAAACCTTAATGACTTGGAGAAGATCTGCAAAGAGGAGTGGGACAAAATCCCTCCTGAGATGTGTGCAAACCTGGTGGCCAACTACAAGAAACGTCTGACCTCTGTGATTGCCAACAAGGGTTTTGCCACCAAGTACTAAGTCATGTTTTGCAGAGGGGTCAAATACTTATTTCCCTCATTAAAATGCAAATCAATTCATAACATTTTTGACATGCGTTTTTCTGGATTTTATTGTTGTTATTCTGTCTCTCACTGTTCAAATAAACCTACCATTAAAATTATAGAGTGATCATGTCTTTGTCAGTGGGCAAACGTACAAAATCAGCAGGGGATCAAATACTTTTTTCCCTCACTGTATCTATACCCATGCTAGAGAGACTGAAAGTCAAGCCTACTCACTGGCACTAATAGAGCCCCAAAGTGGAGGTGTCATAATACCCATAAAACCTAACGGTCAAGCAGGGAAATGGTTCCAATCGTTTTTTCCACCATTCATTTTTCCCATAGGGAATTTTAGAAACACTTAAAATAAGGTCTGTGTTTCGTGTAGGCTTACCCTGGTGTAACGTATTGATAACCATGTAATTGTTGTGTCTCAATGGGCCACTAGGCTATAAATAGGAGCTAAGTGCAATGGTCAGGTCACTCTGTGGAAGATGTCAGCTTGATGTCGAAACGTCAGTCACCTGTTTGCATCCTGTACAATGGATTAAAGTGAGCAAACATAAATACATCTCTGGATTTTTTTGTTGAGTGCTCCAACTCATTTTCTCCTCGAATTAGTCCTTTTGGAAGTTTTTCTTGGTAAGCCCTTCTCACCCTTTAATGTATTATTAACAGCACACTACGAAATGTGATTAACAACACCTAGAAGCATAGCAATGAAGTATGACTCATGCTTCTCTTGATATGTAGATCAGATACTGATACTGATATTTGTTTTTAGTTATCAATTATGCCAATTATGATTTGCAACCTGATACAATTAAGTACACAGAAACATCATCTGAAGGTTACAAACTCACTTTTTCAACTTTGTCCATTTTACAAGACATAAAAAGTAGGCTATTTAAAAAACATATATCCTATTGAGGTATTCTACAAACACGTGTTACACATCTCATAAGTAGGCTAATCAACTGACAGATACTAAATGCAACAGAACGTAAGCAGGCACTCACTCCTTCCTCTCTCCATTTTATTCATTCATTCACACACACACACACACACACACACACACACACACACACACACACACACACACACATACATACAGAGAGGGGGGAGAGAGAAATTAAATAAACATTATGTGTGTGAAGTCTGGCATATGATCTTCTTGAAAGATCTCCGAAAATCGCGATTAAATATTGTATAAATTATAGGGTTCACTGAACTGTTACAGTAACCAATCCAGAAAAACAGATTGAAGAGAACATCCGGAATCGGGCAACTATCTCTGCATATTGCGTGCAGACTGTATGTAAAAAAGAATGGGAACCAGCAGAGTACAAACACCCCCATCACCACTGCAAGGACAAATGTAAAGCGCTTTTCACGCATCTGTGCCAGTTTTGTCTTTGACAGTGACATCTGTCTCGTCCTTTGGTCCTGAGAGAGCTGTGCGTTGCGGTTTGAAGCCGATGGCGCGCGGCAACTCTGTTTTGTGAACGCGTTCGCGCCCTCCACTTTCCCTCTCTTGGAGAAGTGCCATTTATTGGATTTGCTATCGGCAACGCAGGTCTCCTCCAGGTCTATATCGTCCAGCTCTCCTTTCCGCGGGTGGCCACCTAAACTGGGGCTGCTGGGGCTCTCCAACTCAAATTTGCCCCTGGGCACAAAGCAAGTTTCCGACTCCAAAGGCTGTCTCTCCATCCCGTTCTTGGCCGCGAACACGGTTGATGCGCGCTGCTTGGCCACTCTATATATTTTACAATACACCAGAATCATGATTAGTCCAGGGGCGAAAAATGAGACCAGGCAAGACGAGAGAATATACCATGTTTCGCTGTTGAGCAAGCACTCCTGCTCGTCGTGTTTGGTCATAAGCAATGGTGGGAAAGAGATGATCGCTGATATGACCCAGACCACGGTGATCATACACTTAATACGCTTGGGCGTCCTCTTCAGGTTATAGCTAACAGCTTTGGTTACAGACCAGTACCTGTCCAGGCTTATGGCACAGAGGTGCACAATGGAGGACGTGCAGAAGAGGACGTCAAGGGCCAGGTAGAAGGCACACCAGGTGCTCCCAAAGTACCAGTAACCCATGACCTCGTTGGCGAGGGAGAAAGGTATGACCAAGGTGGCCACTAAGATATCTGCCGATGCCAAGGAGACAAGGAAGAGATTCTGAGGCGCACGGAGCGCACGGCTGGTGAAAACGGCCACTACAACCAGTACATTCCCCACGATTGTCACCAGAATGATAACAGTGACCACGAGCACGATGAAGACGGCCTCGCTCTGGGAGTGAGGCGGAGGTCTCGGGGCACTCGTGCAATTAGTATCCTCTGATGAGTTCGGCGCAGCAAAAGTTGTTGGTGTTATATCCATTCTGGATAGACAAGTCTGTTCCTCCCCATGCTCCTCTCGCACTCCAATCAGAGATACACAGGGCGAGGGTCGCAAATTGCGCAATTTGATCAAAGTAATCTTTCATCTAACCGCTGTACAGATTACCCATTATGTGGAACCACACAGTTCAATCGAAATCACAGACGAAATGACCAGGAAAATAAGCATAATTCCAGTGTTTTGTTTTCAGTGCATGCGCACAAGGTAGCCGGTGACTCCAACAATTCCTGGCCACACTCTACAGTTTGTATTTGTGCAAGGAAAGAAACATGTTTGGAATGCATGGTTCCCTTGTGTACGCCACTCCAAGAAACCAGGGTCAGATGGCAGCCTGAAGTTCCCACTTTAATCTGGTTGTTGCGCGTTGGCCGTGTTCCCTACTAGAGTAGTGTGGGTGTGGAGAGGGGTATCAGTTCAGAGAGAGAGAGGGAGAGGGAGCCAGCGAGAGAGAGAGAGAGAGTGAAAGAGAGCGAGAGGGAGAGCTAGAGAGCGAGAGAGGGAGAGAGAGATACTGCGGAATTATGCACATTATTAAAACTAGGAATAGTGTAATAATGGCAGTAAAGACGGGTGAAAAATAAATGTTTTAATATGTATAGGCCTGTTATTATTAGTATTGTTTTGAAATCGTATTAATTGTCAAAGGAATACGACATCACCGTTTGACAATCTGTGCCAGGCTATGTTCTAGTTATCTTTATTAGGTCTAGGCTAAGTTAACGATAATTGATAAACGCGGGTGCGTGCAGTTTAATGGTATTCGATCAGTTAAAAATCCACATTTAATTAGAATGGCATTAACTTCTAGTCCTAAACATGTCAAGTCGTAAAATATAATAGCAGGGTGGTTATAGACGTGGGTTCCGTGGGGGTGACGTTATTGATATACTAAATGAAGCCTGGGGGCTCAAAGGATTAGTTTGTTGTCACACACACACACACACACACACACACACACACACACACACGCCTTACAGTTAATTTATTATTATCATCATGACAGTAATATATAGTATAGTGAATACATCCCTGTCAACTTAAACTCAACTGACTTAAACTATGACACCTGTTTCAGGGATTAACATAAAGGTGGCTGCCCCATTGGACAGGTGCTTTCTTTAAATACTGATAACAACCAAAAATGCTAAGAATTCCAGTCTGGTCTTTCTGGCTCCTCCCCTCTGTGTAGGTGAAAATAGCTACTTTGCTTTTCAGACCTTAATGTAAATCCCTGTGAAACGTGATGACCAACAGCACCTGATCATTTGAAATGTAAAAACCAGGGGCGCAACTTTCACTGGGGATGGGGGGGGGGGGGGTGCATGATCCCTCCACATTCTAAAATCACATTTTTCTCCCCACCAGTTTTATCATTGCACTGTGATACTAATAGCGGCATCGGTGTGCTTTAGGCCTCAGATCGGTCGGGTAGGCTGTTTGGCGGTTTCAGCCGGCTGGATTTAGGACCATGCGGACACCACAGAACATGCGGAAAGGCTGTGTGAAGACAAAGCTTCTGCTGTGTGTAGCTGCTGTCTCTGCGCTTTCCTCCGGATTGTAAAAGCAAGCAGAGCAGAAATCGGCTACTCTTTATTTGATTTTCTGCTACTCTATATTTGACTGATGTAGCTGGCAAGGTAACTGCTGTTTGACTTAATAGGAAAAACTAGTAGTGTAACTGACATGTAACGTTAGCTACAGTAATATTTCATCCCTTCTCGACTGAAGATCTGTCTGAAGAGAATGAACTAGCTAGTAGCTACAATAGCCAGATCAGCTCTAGCCTCTAGCTATCTGTCAGGTAGCAGTATCTAACAGCTGTTGTGTGTATGGAAATGTTTTGTAGCCTTTTTGTCCCGTTTCAACAGAAGGAAATTAACTTGGCTAGTTTTTGTCAGTTAATGTGCCATTAGAGGTAGCCAAAAGTTGGCTAACATTAGCTAGCTAGCTCACTAACTTTAGCTGTTATTTTTGTCTCAATCACACTAGACCTGAATCAAATGATGACACCAGTGGCCAAATGACTGAAGATCAATATTCTGACATTGTTTGACAGTGCAATGTGAGTTTTGTTAGAGTCAGTATAGCAATGTAATGTTATTGATCTGTTCCTATCTAATTCCCTACTTTTCACACTGACATGGTATAAACAGCTCTACAGGCTACACTGTTATGATGCACAGTCAGTACACAACACTATGCTCGTCATGTCTTAGCACAATCAGATGATGACAGGTGTCCCAGCAGGGTCAAGACAACCAGTGAAGACCAGTTTACGAAGCTCAGATTAATTTTGCAGTTTATTATAGCAATCAGTGAATGGATACGAAGTTCCATCTTGAGTTGATGGGTAGGCTACAGTCTGGAATCTGGGAATAATGATAATTTCAATTATTGAACCATTGATTCTATTATTGGATAATATAATGTATAAATGTACATGAAGGTAATTATTTGTCATGCCTCATCTGAGCAGGATCAGATGGAGACAGGGGTCTCAGCAGGGTCAGGCAACCAGTGAAGACCAGTCTGTGATGGCACTGAGGTGAACCTTTGCAGATACTGTAGAACACGTTATTCTCTCAGTGCAGCAAACACTGGACAAGACAGAAGCTTCAAAGATGTAAACTATTTTAAGGCTGTCTGACAAAGCTCAAGTTGATTTCCAAACTGTAGTAAAGGTTGATAGAGGCTTTTCCTGATGACACAAAACATGTCAAACAAAAATGTGAGGAAGACCTGGGAGACACTATTGATGATGAAGAATGGATACAGATATGTTTGAATGCCCAGTCATGTTCATATAATCTCAGACATAAATTACTGCAGTTTAAGTCCATCCATAGAACATACTATATGCCAGTGAAACTGAATATCATGCACTCAGAAATGTATTTCCTCTGCTGAAGGTGTAAAACACAAAAGGGGACATATTTCAATGTTATGATCTTGTGAACGCTGGCTGAATTCTGGCAAAGAGTATGTTCTGTAATCTCAGCATGTCTACAGATTCTCCATGTTTTTGTTTGCTTGGAAATGTTGATACTGGAGACTGTTATCAGAATAAACTATGTAACCTAGCATTTATAGCAGCTAATAAATGCATTGCCATTAATTAGAAGGTTGGTTATCCTCCCACAATGTCACAATGGATGGCAGAAATGTTATGTATCACTAGATTTGATTTATTACAAGATTAATGGTATACTGTGCAACTTTCATAAGGTCTTGGTGCCTTATATGGAATACTGTATGACAAAAGGGGTCTGTATTAAAAACATATATTTTATTTTTCATGGCACACGAGACACCTGTCTGATTTGCGCCTGTCTTAGTGGACTAATCCATTGAGGAAGCCGCAGGGATGACACGGTCGAAGAATATGGGGATTGTGGCTCTGATGAACAAGGCACGTCTCTCTCTGGAATGTGCTCTCTACCTCCATTTCGTGGTTATTAATTGTTTCAGAACTTAATTGTGTGCATTGTTTGCTGTGTCTATCAATTCCCCATTACATATATCACCAGTAGTAGCCTACATTTACCGTTAATTCCCATAATTTCTAATCTGCAATGTGTGTTTGGTTACGTTAATTTCCGATTAATGAATTCAATATATTAACAAAACAAAACAAATGGATGAGCATGCTTTGTAATGTTTCTAAAACAATAAATGTATTACTAGTAAAAAGTAATGTGGTATATTGTTTCATTTAAGATTTTTTGTGACCTGAGAAGGAGAGATTTTAGCATGTACTGTAAATCTTGTTGGGGCAAAAAAATAAATAATAATTTGATGCATGCCAGCAAAGCCACAACACAACACAACACTAAACAATACATTGATTGGACTATGACGGTGACAAATGGTGTCCACAAACTGTTAGGGCCTACATAAAGCTGTCCCAACAGCAGAGTCCCAACAGCAGTCCCAACACCTTAGCACCACTACACATGGCTATCAGCGGAGCCTTGTCTGGCAGCGAAACAGTTAATTCAGCCTCATTTACTGCCTTTTTTAGAAAAAATAGCTGATTTGGCTGACGTGCTTAAACAAATGTGGTTTCTACTGACAATTGAGATGTACAAACTATGGCATAAGGGGACGACGAGCGTATAACAGGCAATCCATAATTTCGATTAAGACATTAATGAGCGAGCTAGGACGGACGTAGTCAATATAAATATTTGTTCAGCACATTTGAAATGTACAGCGACAGAATTTAGAACATGGGCCGTTCTTACAGTATTCTCCAAGTACACCAAGTCAGAACCGTCGGATAATTAAATGGGGGCATATAAGCAGACAACGAAAGCTCTTACAATATTCGATGATGTCACGACTTCCTCCGAAGCTGCCTCCTCTCCTTGTTCGGGCAGGCTTCTGCGTTCGTTGTCACCGGCCTTCTAGCCACTGCCACATCACATTCTCATCATTCCATTTGTTTTGTCTTGTCTATTACACACACCTGGTTCATATCCCCTCATTAGTATGTGTATAAGTGTTCCCTCTGCCCCCTTGTCCTTGCGGGTGATTGTTTAGTGTGAGGATTGTGTAGCTCGGTTGAGCTCCGTGTATTTTGTATTGCCGGGGTATATTTTCCCCGTGTGCCTGTTTGGTTCCAGTGCGCCTGTTTTGCGCACTGGACTGTTTGACGCAAATCTGCGTAACTCTGTATTCCGGATTAAACTCTGTATTCTGCGATTTACCCTCCTGCGCCTGACTCCTTCAAATCACCCATCACAGATGATGACATTTCTCTAAAACAGGCTATAGGCTACATGTACAAGTCAGAACAGTAGGCTACATTTTGAGGGGAAAAGGGACTAAATTATTAAGGTGAGGCACATGGGCTACTAACAGCTTACTACACAACATACATTTAGTATTACTTTCTTAGCTACAGTATACATATCTCCCTGGCATATTACATAATTTATGCAGTAGCATACAATACATTTTTGGACTCACCTTGTTGT